CTGAAACCACCTCCACCAATCATCCATGCACCCAACAGTTATTGGTTCAGGTGTCTTTAGTAAGACACCTTATAGTTGAAGCATAGCCTTAAGGATATCATTGAAATACTTACTAACTGTTTGACCAAACCTCATAAAATTGAATTTGACATTTCGATTTTTATGGTGATGCCTAAGCACAGTTAAAAACATAGCAACCTTTTCCTCTAACACAACATATTTTGAATATGACACACCTTTTGTTCTGATAAACCCAAACAACCACATAAAGATATGCCTATTCATTCGTAGTTGTTCATGGCAGTCTGTGTCATTATCTCTTACCAACCCATTTAGGTGGCCAATTTGTTGTTTGAAAGGATTAGGATTCTACTTAGGCCTTGTTTGGGAACATGATTTTTTAATAACTTTTTGACTTTTTGGTTAAAATATGATTTTAAAAAAACTTATATGTTTGGGATAACTTTTTGGTTTTTTTTGAAAAGATGTGCAAAAAGTAAAGAGAAAAGGAAATCTTTAATTTTTTGGTATAGGTTATTGACTTTTTGATTTTTTTAGTGACTTTTTGACTTTTTAGCTAAAATCACCACTTGCCAAACGAGGCCTTATTGTCCTCGTAGCCTCAAACCTTTCCAGTGTAGCATGCAAAATGACAATATAAACTACACAAGTATAATTCATGGATGATACAATATGTTGCAGGGCAACGTAAGCCTCAATGAGGTCCCTCCTACCATCAAATCCTTTATTATTTGCCATCTATGAAAAGAAATAGTGTAATAGTAGATTAAATAACCAAAGCGATCAAGTAGATAACTAAATCAATGCTAACTACTATTCACAGCAGTTTCATGTAAACAATTAGATTTGATAAAAAAAAATCTTATCCATAAGAAGTAGGGGTGTGCGCGGTTTAGTTGCGGTCGCGAAACCTCTAATCAGCTATCCGTTCGCCAGATTGGCGAATTGGAGGAAATCAATCCGTATCCGTCTGCCAATTTGGCAAATGTGGATTGAGCAGATTGGCGGATTAAAATTTTATAAATTTTCAACATAATTCAACTTGTACACTTCCTCAAAAAAAGATGAAGAAAGTATTACAGTCAATAACTTAAAAAAGTATTACAATCACTGTATGCCGTATAAAAGAAAGAAAGTTTGAAACTTTAAAATATTGCAATCACTGTATGCCTCAACTACATATTATAATCATAGCATGTTTCATCCACATAAAGTATTTGTTCTTAAAATATAAAAACAATTCAAACCACCAAAATCATGAACAGAGCAGTAATAGAGATTGTATGTCTCTGTATTGTTACATTTATATCTGTTTTTAAAAATAAAAACCAACCGACATATATCTCTTTTTTATTTATTATTTTTAGAGTTAGATTTACAAAACCAAAAAATATATTCAAGTTGAAAACTCTTTTTCAACAGAACATATTCAACAAAATATTTGAACTCTTTTTCAATTGAAAATACAAAGTCTTACAAATTACTAGAGGTGCTTGTGGTTTGCCGGTTCGGTTACGGCCAAAAAAATCTCAAATTCGCCATCCGTCTAAAACTAGGTAGATTGAAAAAAAAATCCGCAACCATCCGCTCATCACACATCTGTCCAAAATGCGACGGATTGATTCGGTTCGATCGGTTTGGGCGGATCGGTATATCCGCTGCTCCATAAGAAGCATTCAATAAGAAGGATTATTAAGCTACAACAAAAACCAAACTTCTGACATAATTTTCTAAACAATCATATTTTTTTAGGTTAACAAAAATTTGAGAACTAATTTTTTTTTGGTCACATACAAACAACTACATTTCTCATTGTTTATATTATATTTATAAATTAATATTTTTTGTTTGTATTTGGCAACTTGCTAAAAAAGTCAGTTTTTTGACTTTTAGTTTTTTAATACAGAAAAGACAAAAATCAATTTTTTTACACAAAAAGTCACCAAAAAGTCAAAAAAATCAAAAAGTCAGCTTTTTTACAAATTTCCCAAAACACCACATAGATGCATAATTATTTTCCAGATCAAGAACATATAAAAACAAAAAGCATTGAAAAAAAAAAAGGTTTATTCAACTATAACAAAAAATCAATCTTTAAACTATCTTGAATTTTTTTTTTTTTTTTTTTTTTTTACATAACACTCTTAAAAATAACAATTCATGTTATCAAAATAGAACCTAGAGTTGGTCCCACTGAAAGAACAAGAGCGACTGATATACAATAGTCTCCCCATTTTCATGTACATTTTTTTTTCTGGTACATTGGAAATTAAAAAACCAGAACAACAAAAACACAGACAAGAGAGGCAGCTAAGCTAGAGCCTCCAAAATGCTGTGCCCACCATATCTGCTACAATCAAGCTTCTAACTTCTGGAGGAGGTTCCTCCATAACCAGCAAGTGCTCCACTTGATCTGCATCCATGTTGGCGAGCTTGTCCGCACATTGGTTGGCCTCTCTCATAATGTGCTAGATGGAACAATTGCACCGTTGGAAAAGGTGACGAGCATATTCCACAATGGCTCTATACGGGCAGTTTGGGGGAGGCCCGTTTGTGATCATTTCTTGGGCTGTGATGGAGTCAGTCTCAATGACAACTTCGGCGAGACCTTTCTCGAGCACTATGTAAGACCTCTGTAGATGCCTCACATTTCCACTTCCAAGCTAAAGCATGTCTCTAACTTCCCAAAAAAACTGCACAGCCAAATGCCAGATTCATCGCGAAAGAGGCCTCCAAACCCCCCTGTTCCTGGATCGCCCCGAGCACAGCCATCCGTGTTTAATTTGATTTTCCCTGTAAGAGGAGGGTACCAAATAATCTCATCAGCAGGTTTATGAGCATAGACAATAGAAGATAAGAAAGCATGATTTATCTCTGCAACATAATTAAGAATGCAGGTGCAAGCATTCAAAACAGTAGTTTCAATATTATCAAAAACTTTCTTGTTCCTATCTTTCCATATCTGCCAAAGTGTCACAACAAAAACACAGCACCAATGGGGATCACTCCTCTTATGAGACTTCAAGTTCTTCCTAATCCAGTCAACTAGATTAAGGTGGTTGATGGTTGACACCCACTGCAAACCATCAATATTGATCCATATGTTTTTTGAAACAATGCAACCACGTAGAAGGTGATCCATGTCCTCATTATTCCAATTACATCTGGGACAATTAGCATTCAAAGTCATGCCTCTATTCTTTCTCATAGCATTGGTTAAGCGTCTCCCATGGCAAATCAACCATAGGAAACCTTTCAGTTTGTGAGGTATTTTAAGTTTCCACACCCACACAATCTCCAAGTTACACTCAAGCAGCCCAGAAGCAGCTTTATACGCAGCAGTCGTAGAAAACCCTCCTGAACCACCCTTCCAGTGAGGGCTATTAGGAAAGGTAACAAATTGGGGAAGAGGAATTTTTAAAACACTTGCAATAGCGTTACTAGGAATATGACACCGGATGTGGTTCACATCCCATTTGCCCTTCTCATTCATAAGGACATCCACCGTTGCGTTATTGGTAAGCTGGTGGTTAGGAAATTTAGTAGCAAGAGTTTCCTTTCCACACCACCAGTCAAACCAGATGGAAATAGTAGCACCATCACCCACTCCCCATTGAGTACCTTTCCTCAAGATATCTTTTGTTTTGAGGATGCCTCTCCAAGTGTGAGAAGACTTTTTCTTAGAAGAATAGCTCATAAAAGACTCATGTCGGAGATATTTCTCCTTCGGGACTTGCACCCAAAGGCTAGTATCATTGCATAACAATCTCCACTTGATAGGAGGGCCAGGTTCTGCAAGTAAGCTTTTTTCAGACCAAGCCCTCCCATCTTTTTGCTATTACAGACCATATCCCAATTCATGAGATGAACTTTTTTGCCATTTTCACAATCTCCCCAAAGAAAATTACAATTAAGTTTGTCAATATCTCTGCATATACTCACAGGGAGATCAAGAGTTTGCATAGTGTAAGAAGGAAGGGCAGAAGTGATAGATTGAATTAAGGTGGCCCTTCCAGCCAAAGAAAGCATATTAGCTTTCCACTCAGACTCCTTTCAGTTATATGACTGAAATGAGCACGATTACATTTGCCATGTAACATGGGAATGCCCAAGTACTTACCCAAATCTTGGGTGAGGGAGATTCCACAACAATTACTCAAAACTCTAGCTTTCTGAATCCCTACATTGGGCGAGACAAAAAGCTTAGATTTATGGACGCTCAACTTAAGGCCCGAGAGCTCACTGAACTCCTTCAACACCCCCATAACAAAGTTACACATCTTTTTATCAGCTCTCCCAAACAACAGCAGATCATCAGCAAAGAAAAGGTGAGAAAACATAGGGCCTCTGTTAGATGCTTTTACCCCTATCCATACTTTGTTTCGGACTTTCTCAAGGATCATATTAGAGAGTCTTTCCATGCATAACACAAAGGGGTAAGGGGATAGGGGATCCCCCTGTCTTAACCCCTTCTCAAAACAAAATTCCTCAAGTTTTTCCCCATTCCACAAAACGGAGGCAGAAACATTTGTGACACAATTCATGATGAGATCCACCCAATGATCATTAAGACCAAGATTATTTAAAGTTTGATATAAAAATTCCCAAGACACGTTATCATAGGCTTTTTCTAGATCAATTTTAAGAATCATATCACCTTTATTGCCTTTCTTACCTTTAAGAGTGTGGAGGATCTCCTGGGCAATGATAACATTATCACTAGTGGTACGTCCAGGAATAAAGCTACTTTGGAAAGGTCCAACAATATCGGTCAAAAAGAGTCTAAGTCTATTAACAAGAATTTTGGTAAGGGTTTTGTGGAGAACATTGCAAAGGCTAATGGGGCGGAAGTGGGATATAGATTCAGGGTTAGCAACTTTAGGAATAAGGGTGAGGAGTGTTTTATTCATGCTATCAGGAATGTGTTTGTTGGCAAAGCAATTTTGTATAAACTTACAAACAGAAGATCCAACAATGTCCTAGTGCTTGTGATAGAAGAGGGATGGAATACCATCACTACCAGGTGCTTTAAAAGCTTTAACACTCTTAATGGCATCCCACACCTCCTTATCAGAAATAGGCTTACAGAGGGACCTGCTATCATCCAGACTAATTTTAGGCTGCAGAGGGTCAGGGCCAACACTCAGAGTGTCACTGGTACCTTTCTTAAAAAGGTTACAAAAATAGCTGTGTACATTGTTTTTGAGGTCAATGGGGTCAGTGATCCACCCATTCTCAGAATTTTTCAGAGTTACCACTCTCATCCTCCTCCTTTTAGCAATAGTAGAGACGTGGAAATATTTCGTATTCCTCTCACCCATGGTGATCCAGTTAGCCCTAGACTTTTGAAACCACAATAGCTTTTCTTGGTACAAAATATTGTTATAGTCCCTAACAAATTCTTTTTCAAGTAAGAATAGATTATGGGAATAAACAAAGGATTGGGCTTTTTGGATGCCCTCAATACGTCCAAGAAGCCACTTTTTTTTTCGAAAAATATTGCCAAAATGATTTTTGTTCCAAGCAAAAATATTTTTAGTGAACAAATTCAGAGTATCAATAATAGATTCGTTATTAGCAGCCTAGGAGTTTTCAACAATAGATTTAAAAGTAATATCAGTAAACCAAGCGGCCTTTAATCTGAAAGGTCTGGCTAAGGGGTTAGGAGAGTCCATACCTTGTGTGAACACAACCAAAGGAGAGTGGTCAGAGTAGGTTCTTGGTAAATTACGAACTGCACCTTCAGTGAAAGCCATACGCCATTCAGAATTGCGAACATCACGGTCTAGTCTCTCCAATGTGTTGGCCAGTCATTGCCTTCCATTGGACCAAGTGAGTTGGGGCCCAGAGCACCCAAGATCCATCAAATTACACCTATTCATTCTGGCATTGAACTTACGGGTTCGAACATGAGAGAGGGTTGGGCTGAGACTACGTTTTCCCCCCAAAAAGCTATGTCATTGAAATCCCCAGCCACAAGCCAGGGCAGATTCATGTTGTCGGCAATAGATTCAAGATTATCCCATAACAGTTCACGATTTCTGGGAATGGGGCCGGCATAAACCGCTGACAGGACCCAATCTGCATGGTTATCACGTTGAATTTTTGCAAGAATAACTTGGGCATTAACCTCAAGGGCTTTTACAGTAGCTTTAAAAGGATCCCAAAGGACCCAAATGCCCACACTCCTACCAACAGGGTCTACATGGGAAGAAGTAGTGAACCCTAATTTGTTAAAAAAAGAACCCATTAAACTAAGCTCAATTTTTGTTTCCATCAAAACAATAATAGAAGGTCTGTGAATTTTCTCAAGTTCCTTCATGGTTCTTCTAAAAACTTTGTTACCAGCACCACGACAGTTCCATATGAGCAATTTCATTGAGACAGAATTTGGGAAGTTAGGAAAAGGGGCAAATTCAAGAATTCCTAGAGTCTTCCTGATTTTCATATGATCAAGGACATCTGAGTTTAGGGAACTCACTCTGACTATGGTGTTTTGGATGCCATAGTGGTTCATCTCCTCTTTTATGATTATGAGGCGAGCTTCGCTGATCTACCAGTCTGTGCGTACTAGGTGAGTGGCTTCTTTCTCTTGATCGAATGCAAGATAGATCATGCAAGCCCTGACTTTGTGATGGTTCTCCAATGGAATCTCCATAGCTGGGTAAACTCACTAGGTTTGATAAATGGATAATCACAGGCAAAGAGGGGTGAGGGTCAGGGGTTTTTTTTGTGGTGGCCGTATGTGGCTGTGTTTTTTGGACCAAAGGTGTAAAGGGTGAGGGTGGTGCATCTGGACATGGAGCAACAGGTGGAGCTAAACTTTCTGAGGCTAGACCCTCCATCATAACATTTGTGTCTGCTAAGGCTATGAAAGGGTTATGCACATCAGTGCTATTTGCAGAGACTGAACTGACATCAGCTAGAAGATCTGGAGTGATCTGGTTTGTCTTGAAAGACTTAGTTCCGTTCATAGCCCTTTGGTTATAATGAAACTGCTTACCTGGCCCCTTTCCATGGGCTTTGTCTTTAGATTTGGATCTGGGCTCTTTCTTGTTGGCATAGTTCTGTTTTGGGCTCCTCCAACTAACCAACATCCATGGGCCAAAGCCCTCTGCAGGTTGATCCGAATTTGGGTCTGATGGGTGGGTCTTACCACTCTCACTACAGCTGGGCCTACTCTCCTTCCTATACTCAACGGTCAAATTTTTTGCAGGCACCTCCTCTGGAGCAATGGCGCCGGATGGATTCACCGGAGCAGCGCTGCAACGATCCCTTCAATGACCCACTCTGCCGCAATTAAAACAAAAGGAGTGAACGTGTTCATATTCAATCCCATAAGAATATTTCCCAATAGCAAAATAGGCTATTAAAGGTTGACTCAAATCAACTTCTATGCAAACCCGAGCAAACCTACCTCTTGTTGACGTTGCTGTGTTGATATCAATTTTCAAGGGCTTGCCAATGGATTTGGCAATGTGGTAAAGCACCTTCTCATTATAATATTCTATGGGTAGTTGTGGAAATCTGACCCAAATAGCAGTGGTGATTTCTCTCGCTTGAGATGGCTTGAAATCATGGCACCATTTACGTACAGTGAGGTAGTGATCCAAAATTACCCAAGGCCCCCCTGATAAGACTTTCGTGTAATCATCTTTCATTTGGAATTTGAAAAGAAAGAACCCTAATCCCAAATCAATTGCCTCAAAGTCACCTTGGAGGTCCCAAATTTTCTTAACTTTTAGAGTTAGAAGTTTGTAGCCAATATTTCTCCCAAGCGGTTTAACAATGAGGCAGTCTTTCCACGGCCTTCTAATCTTATTCAACAAATTTCTAGGAAGTTTGATTCAAGGGATGCCCAGATCTGGCTCCTCCAGACATAATTCCTCTTCTATGCTCTCTGGTTCAGATTCATCGTCATTCGTGGATAATTGATCAAGATCTTCGTCAAAAGCTCGCTCATCGTAGCATCTGTTTGTTAGTGCCTCCTTGAAGGACTTCGGAGCATGAGGCTTCGATAAGCTTCGAGCCTCTGTGTTGGCCTTGAGAGTATTCAAGGCATCCGATGGACCCTCAGAAGCTGGAGGAGGCTCTGCCATGTTATCATCATCATCGCCCCTATGGGCATTCAGTTTCTTAGTACTCTGAGAAAGATGATCTTTCTCGTCTGAGGATTGTTATTCTCGTTGATCACCGATTGTGCCGTTGGAAGCAGCTAGAGACATCTTTTTAAATAATCAATTGCTAAATATATATGGGAAACAACGATGCAGGGTAAAAGGCCCAAATTTTTCTATAAACTATGGAGTGCAACTCCTTATGTGTGGTGAAATACAGCTAAAAAAATAAGAGGTATAAGTTTGAATTGTACCCTTCTACTGTCTAAATGTTTTTTTTATTTTATTGATATTTAATTCTTCTAACATGAAGGATTTTGAGAAGATGGTTAAACATTAATTTTTTTAATTTTTTTTTAATTTTTAAAAAAAAATATATAAAAATATAAAAAAATAATCATATTGCTTAGTTTGGGTTTTCTAAAAACACTTTTTTGAAAATTTTACTTTTTTGTTTTTCGTATTTATTTATTTATACTGAATTTTTTTAGTATTTTAAACAATTTTTTTAATTTTTAGACACATCTAATATAAATACACTAAAAAGTATAATTTTCGTAAAAAAAATCTTTTAAAAATTCACTAAATAACAAAAATATAAAAATTAAGTATATTTTTCATATTTTTGTGTATTTATTAATTTTTTGAAATATTTTTTCACAAATATTTTATTTTTTAGATATATCTAAGTAAGGTACATCTAAAAAAGTAAAAAAAAAAAATGCTTAAAATTTTAAAAATATTTACTAAAAATAAAAAAATATGAAAAAAATTTAATTTTTAAAAAACTGAATTCAAAAAATTAAAACCAAACACAATGGGTGTGTTTGGTAACATTTACGTTTTCAGTTTATATTTACAAAAATTTTATAAACTGATTTTTGTTTATTTTTTGAAAAACATAAACTACAAACGCGTTTGGTAATTGACAAAATGTTCAAAAAAATTTAAAAATATAAAAAAGAGTAAGAAATGGCAAGTGACGGCGGAAGACGGTGGTGGAAAGTGGTGACGTGGTGTGGGTTAGCTTGTGGCGGGTGCGGTGGTGGTGGGGCCGGTGGCGGGTTGCGGCGGTGGCGTTGACGTGTGGCGGGTAGACGAGTGGGTGTCGAGTGGTGGTGGTGGCGGCGGTGGGTGGTGGGTGTGGGTGGTGGTGGTGGTGGTGGGGCGGGGTGGGGTGGTGCGGGTTGGATCGGTGGGGGTGGGGGTGGTGGTGATGGTGGGTGGTGGGTGACGGTGGCGGGTGGTGGTGGTGTTTGGATGACGGGTGGTGGTGAGTGGGTGGGTGACGGTGGCAGGTGGTGAGTGGTAGCAGTGAGTGGTGCGCGGTGTGGTGGCGGCGGGTGGGTGGCGGATGACGGGTGATGGTGGTGGGTGGATGGGTGTGTGACGGTAGCGGATGGTAGCGAGTGGGTAGTGGTGGTGGTAGGTGGATGGCGGATGGGTGGTGAGTAGTGGGTGGTGGCGGCGGGTGGGTGGTGGTAGGTGGTGGATGGTGGTGGCAGGTGGGTGGTGAATGGTGGTGACAAGAAGATGGCGGGCGGTGGTGGCGGGCAGTGGATGGTAGTGGCGGGTGGGGAGTGGTGGCGGGTGGATGGCAGGTGGGTGGTGGGTGGTGGTGGTGGTGGTGGCGGTGGCGAGAGGTGGGTGGTGGTGGCGTGGTGGTGGCAAGTGGGTGGTGAGTGGTGGTGGCAGGTGGTGATGGGTGGTGGTGGCGAAAGACGGTGGTGGAAAATGGTGGCGGGTGGTGGCTAGTGTTGAGTGGTAAAAAAAAAAACTAAAAACTCAAAATAGAAACACATTTTTTATGTTTTCATTTTTTAGTTAAATTTATAAACTGAGACCACTGATTTATAAATCAAAAATTTTACCAAACAAGTTTTTATTTGAGTTTTTTAAATTTTTGTAAATATAAATAGAAAACTGAAAACGTAAGTGTTACCAAACGACACTAATATAATTTAAAATAAATTAAAAATTAAAAAGTGACCTCTAACTTATTTCTCAAAATTCACTTATAGGAAAATAAGTGGGAGCACTAATTAGTGCTTCCACTAATGATGTGACAGTAAGTCTCACCATAAATGATTTGATATTTTGATCTTAGGCCAAGTTTGGGAAGACTAAGGCCAAGTTTGGGAAGATCCAAAAAAGCCAAAAAGTCAAAAAGTTACTCAAAAAGTTAAAAAGTTAACACTATTCACCAAAAGTCAACAATTACGGCTGCACAACTCCCAATCCTAATTTTCCTCTACAAACCAATTTTTACAATTTTTTATTACACATTTTTCAATAAAAACTACCCGCATTACTCTCCCCACGTGGTGATGTTGACTTCACGTTATATAATTGGGCCCGACGCACTTTTTTTTTTTGGACAAAGAGCCCCACGTACTTGATCTATTGAATTCACAATCAATTATAATAAAAAAGAAATAATAAAATAAAAATCTCAAATTTGCACATTTTATTTTTAGGATAAATTATCCTATGATTTTAAAAATTATATTTCGCTCTTTAAAATTTTTAATTTCTTAATAAATATTTTTTTATTAATAAATCATTCAACAATTTTTAATAATATCAAAATTAATTTTAATTAATAATTTAAGTAATTTTATTATTATATAAAAGAACCATTAGAAATTTTATTTTTTTAATTAATTTTATTAAATAAAAAATTCTGACAAGAAAATATCTATAATTTTTCAAATTACAAGAAATAATCTATATTTTGAACAAATCTCAAAATATGTATTTGTAATTTATTCTTAGTTTTATTACAAATGCTAAGAAGTATGTAGGCGCAAATTTGCATAAAGATTAATGAAAAGTGTTGTAAAAATCAATAAATAATTAAAATCATTATGAATTGGTAAAAATATTTTAAATTTGGTAATAAGAATTTCATGTTCTTTCTTTCTTAAATATTTTTTTTCTTCTTCTTATGGCTCACGTGCATTTGTTAATAAAACCTGTTTTTAATATTCAGTCAATCGGAAATGGTTTCCTCCATGCCACCACCTTTTCGTTCTTTATTTTATGAGCTCTATTTTGGGCTTATAAAATGATTTGATGGTTCATTTCGTAAATCATACTGTGTAAAAAATCAATTTCATCGTATATCAGTAAATATATAATAAATTAATTTTAATTTTTAAAATGAACAACAATTAAGAATTTAAACTTCAAACATACATTTTATAGAACAAAATGTGATTTATTAATCTAATGAAATTAATTTTTTATACAAATGACATTC